TGCCTATTCAGGTCCAGATAAGGATATTATTATTTAATCCATATCAGGCGCACCCTATTACTGTTTGTTCAGGTCCTGATTAGGATAACATCAGGCAATTTTTATCAGGGGCGCCCTATTAGTTCCTATTCAGGTCCAGATAAGGGTGATTTCAGGAAAACCCTTTCAGGCACACCTTACCTTCACATGGTAAGGCCCTGATCGTGCATCAGGTATGCCTGGCCGAATTTCTGCTCGGGATTCTATCTCTGTCTTCTGTCCTGTTTTACCATTAAATCTGACTTAGTGTTTCGATTTTCTGCCATTTATCCTATGGTGGCGCTCGTGATGTTGATTACAGCCTGAATGCGGCAACTAGCAGTCCATGATTATATAGTCAAAGAGTTATATAGTCAAAGTATCAAACAATCGGCGTAAACTAGGCTCGTGGCGCTCTCCAGCCAATCAGTGACGCGTCATCACGTGACCGAGGTTGTCGGTTCCTCTTGTTGAAGGCTCTCTACCTCTAATCACGTTCTACGCGGACTAAGTACATGCCCGCAGATGAGCGGCGCTTCGTACGTTCGTTCCGGCTTTTGAAGAAATATGGCGGATGTTGAGGTGAGCATGTCACGTGGAATACGAGAAAATTGTCGCATTATTCCGCACGCCGCTGCGTTATTATAATCAGTGCGTTCTGTTGTAGCTAGCAAAAGCCTTGAAGGATCTACCAAATCGAGTTCAGACCGCCAGCAAGAAGGAGCGGCGCGAGATTCTGCAAAATGTCGCCAGCGTATTGTCAAACCCCGGTAAGGGCGATCGCGCGGCGGACACGTATTATTTTTCGACGTGAGATAAGCGACACTTGGGCGCGGCGGCGCCGAGAAAACAGGGTGGGGGGGTGCCGATCCGTTTTCGGATCGCCGCCGCGACTCGTCGCTCCGCAATTCGCGCGCGGTTTCGCGCGAAACCGCCGCGCGCTTGTTTGCAACGGCCCGGAGTATTCCAGAGTCGTTTATTTACAATATTGTCCTGTAATTGTTGTCTCAAGTACACATCTCTCTCCCTCAGCCTTGGTTCTGATCCGCTGTAATTGTAATTTGACCGAAAGGTCGAGCATTACGTAGAAATTATATCGTCGTACGATAACAGAAGTTCCGTAGTGCCAGTGGAGTTTTGAAATATTCTCCTTGAGCACTGTTGAAGACGTCTGACTTATTTCTCTGAAAATTACGTAACACACACGTGGCAAATATTCAAAGAAGTATCTACGGCAGACTTTTGTTTGTTGTAACTGCGTTGTTCTCTGTGTGATTCAGTTCGACTGTGCGGGGTTTTAAAATATTTTTACCGAATTGTGTCAAAGATATGTTGACATATTTTTGTAAAAATATTCTAATATATATATAGCAAATATTTAAAAAATACGTGTAATATATTTTAATAGTGTAATTTGTTGTAACTGTGTTGTTCTCTACACGGTTCAGCTTGACTGTGCAAACAGAGTTTTAAATCCTTTTCCATTGGACATTTTCAAAGATATATTGATACATTTTTGTGAAAATTACTTGATATATCTGGAAGATATTTACAAAATACGTTTAATATATTTTAATGGAAACATTTCTTATAACTGTGTTGTTTTCTATGCGATTCAGTTTGTCAGTAGAGTTTTAAAATATCTCTGCTGAGTCAAGATTTTTAAATAATTTTATTATTAAACGTATCTGACATATTTTTGTGAAAATTTTGTAACACTGTAATTATTAACAAAAATACGTTAATACTTTAATCAAGGAACGTGTTGCAACTATGTTTTTTTTTTGTATTATGCATGAAGATAAATTAATATATATTTGTACATATAAATGTTACTTTTACTCTGAATTTATTTATGTTGCGCCATACATTTTTATTTTTAATTTTCTCATTAATCGCGTAATTCGATGTAAACAGAATTTGTTGGTATTATTGAAAAATATTGTAGTTAAAATTGAATTTCAAGTGATTGATTTCTCTCCCTGTTATAATTTCCTTTCTATAATTTTTAAATCAAATTTTTTGTCTTATTTGTTACAGTTTTAGATTTAGAAATAATGTAAAATTTTGTATTCCGGAAATAATATACAGAATATGTTTTAAATGAGATTCCTACGTCAGAAATTGATTTAACATCTATGTGCAATCCTCTACTAACTCGCGTACAATGGACACGCAATTCCTTGCCTGTGAAATAAATTAAAGTCTTTTGTTCATCATCTAGCGAGGAATGTGGAGCCATTTTAATTACTGGACTCGCAGAAATGATTAGAACTTGGAAACATTTAAACATGCGTGTGTGTGAATCGTTTGTCCCTGATATAAAATCCGATCCCTGAGGTGGATTTTAATTAATAGCCAATAACAAAATTTTGTATAGATGATTCGATTGGCATCTGAGCAAAAATATTGTCACAGCACTTTTACCCAAAAATACCTTTTGGTTGATATCATCAAATGATTAGGTTGTATCATAAATTATTCATATGTGAGGACTGTGAAATTATTCGTTACAGGCATCAATGACAAAATTGTTAATGGGATCTGTAAGGTGGTATCACTTACCTTACATAGATACAAAGATAGTGCTTCTCAGTCTTACGTGAGAAACATAATTGTGGAACTGATCAAGCAACAACCAGAGGCTACTATCAAACATATGACAACTGTGATTTCGGAGCAAGCTACCTGGCATAAGAATGTGGTTGCAACGTAAGTCGAGTCGGGAATTAATTTTCCGTTCGTTACCCTATTTGCGCATATTTTTCTAACAATCCCTATTTTCTGTAGCTTGAACACTGCTATAACTGCGTATATCGCATTGAAGTGGTCGACTTTACTTATTTTCCACGGATATAACGATTTAATTCAAATGGATGAGTCTTTAGCGAAGCTTATCGAGGCACAGGCGAATCTGTCTGCTGCGGCTTTAGCGTCGGCAGACGAGAAACTTGCCAACAAGGTGTATACGTTGCTCGCGCACGAATGGGTCGCTATTACGGACATAGAAACTTATGTTGGACATTTAACAAAATTGGAGCTCGGGAACGGTGTAATTATTCTAGCCAGTTTACTTATGAGACACTTAGTTGCTACGAAAAGAAATGATTTGGTGGAACAATTGAAGGTGAGCGAGATAAGAGTACGCACATTACTTCTAAATATACAGGTATATATGTGTATTTTTCTAAATTTCAGACAAATATGATAGACGTTTTTATAAAAGTGACGATTAGCTGTAAGAAGAAACCGGATTTGTACGTAGTCGATGCAGCAGTGCCACTTCTTCGGAGATTGACTCACGAGGAATTCAAAACTCAATTACTTCCCGCTTTGCAAAAAGCCATGTTGCGAAATCCAGAGATTATAATCGAATCAGTCGGCCACATTTTAAACGGGTTGAGTCTTGACTTGAGCCAATACAGTCAAGAGATAAGTAAAGGTTTATTTGCCAATCTACATTCTAAGGAGGATTTGGTCCGGGACGAAGCGGTTGAGGCGTGCCGCAAACTCGCCCTACAATGCTCCGATACGACGGCTGTGGAAACGCTGCTGTCGTCCGTATTCGCGGTGTTTCACGGATCGGAGGGCAAACTCACAGTCGCGACTCACAAGATCTCCGTGCTGCAAGGCGCTGGCAATCTCAGCTACAACGTGGCTTCGGGTGCTAGCGTGCAGAAGTTAGCCGAAACGGCCTGCGAGCACTTTGTCAAAGTACTCGAGACGGAGGTTCACGAGAAGACGCTGATACACGCTCTCGAGATGATGGCGTTGTGGTCGAAGAAATTTTCGTCTAGCGTACCAAAAATTGTCGTCGACGCTTTCAAGAAGGGCATGGCGGCGAAAACGTCGACCGCCGCAGTGCGTACTGCCTACATCAAGCTGTTCTTCTCGACTCCCGTCGCCTCGTACTCGGGAATAATAGCACCAATCCTCGTGCAGGCGATAACCAGAGCTACGCAGCAATGCGCGCAACCGACGGCGGTAACCGAAGGCCTGGTCGCCTCGTATCTGATACTCAAATTCGTATTGGCCGACCAGGTGGAGAACGACAAGCAGAGCGTGCTGTGGAACGCGATAGACGAGCAGATATTCTTCTCTGAAAAATTCCTGTCCACGTGCAGCGACGACATTTTATACCACCTCATGCTACTCTGCGAGCGTCTTATCACGGAATTTTCCGACAAACTCAACGAGAAAGCTTTAACTGGGATTCATCGAGCGATCGTGTCTTGCGCCACTGCCCCAAATTCCGTGACGAGACAGCGGTGTTTTCCGCTGGTCAAGAAAATCATGACCGGTTTGAGTACGTACGCGCCGGCGCAGGCATTGTTAACGGAATTCAATAAGTTTTTGGAAAACGTCAAGATCAAGTCGGAATCAGATAAGGAGAATAAAGAGGAAACGTCAATGGGAGAGATTACTGGCAGGTGCCTCGCTGACGGATTATTCGCCATATGCTCAGGTTCCTTCTTATTCGAGGCGCACACCTATCAGATGACCAGAGACGCTCTGCTTCCGTCTCATCACCCGGCTCTGCTCAAAGCCGTGCCAAACTTATGGTTCAAGATCGCCAAGAACTACAATCTCGTACCAAAGGATTTCTTACGTAGCTACAGCAACGAGGTGAGGAAGATGTTGATCCAGAATTATAAACCGGCGCCGAGCTATGAGAACGCGCTTATAAAAGTCGTGTCCCTCGCACCGGACGCTTTTCTACCCGCGCTAGTGTCGAACGTTACGAGCAAGCTCGACGACCCGGAGATCTTACGAGTTACCAAGGACGAATATTTCACGTATCTCATTCCCGAGGGAGAGCTCTACGACAAGAGCGTGCTGCCCGTTAACGATGAGAACGACATCCTTAGCTCTATGAATATGAAGAGAGAGAGTAAAGTCTACTCGTTCAAGGAGCAGCAAGAGGAACTTCAACTACGGCGCGAGTTGTATGAGAAACGAAAGAGAGAGGGTAAAATAAAGGAACCGAAGTTGACGCCTAAACAAGAGGAAACTATAAAGGCGCAGATCGCGAAGGAGAATGGCATTCGCAAGAGATTGACCGAGTTGAAGGCCAAGATAGATAACACCGTGTCCTTAGTGGCGTGCTCGATACGCGGCAATCGGCAGGAGCTGTCTTTGTACTTAAAGGACCTTCTACCACCCATTCTGAAGAACCTAGGTTCTCCGCTAGCGGCACCTGAGATGTCGGAGCTTTACGTGTTTCTTCGTCAAACGGTGACGATAGATAACAGTGCGATCCTGGGGGATCTTATTGCTCACGTTACACTGCGGCAATTGCAACCGCAGTGTGACCTGGACCAAGCCTGGGAAGAAGAAAATCTAGATGTGGCGGTTAAAAGAACGTTGAATCTTATACATTCGGTGACGATCAAGAAGAAGGAGCTGTTCACGGCGCCCGCGTTCTGCTACGTTTTCCCTTTCATAAGGAAGACTCTGATATCGTACAAGGACGAAGGCATGATCGTGCAGGGGCTGCAATTGATTCAGGAACACGCCAGGCAGAGAGGCAGTACCACCGATTTGAAAGACCTCAGGCATCCAAGACTGTTGCCGCGCAAGCAAATGTTCGACCTGCTGATCGAGCTTATGGAGACCACGACGAGCCGAGTACAGTCTCACGCGGTGGCGACTCTGCTGGACGTTGCACAGTCCGGCAGCGGTCAACCAGGTGCGGCGATCGCCACCAGCGAGGACATAGACTCATTGATCGGCGCGTTACAGAATTCCTTGTCGACCGTGAGGGACGCGGCTCTCAGAGGACTGACGGTGATACAGCAGGCTTTCCCGTCCCAGAAGGAGGATCAGGAGCAGCTCAGTAGGCTCACGAGGAGAGTGTGGATCGCTCGGTTCGACATGAACGACGAAAACAAGATCCTCGCTAACGAGCTGTGGAACGCGGCTGACTTTGTTGCGCAGGCGGAGGTACTCTGCGAGGAGCTGATCCAGGATATCGCTCATCCAGTTGAACCGGTGCAGCAGGCGGCTGCGCACGCGCTAGCCCAGAACTTGACGAGCGTGCCGCATCTGACATCGGCCGTATTGGACAGCTTGTTGCTGTTGTACGGGGATAAGCTGACCATGATCCCGCCCAAGCTCAACGACTTCGGCCGCGTTATCGAGCAGCCGATCGACACGTGGGGCCCACGACGCGGGGTAGCGCTCGCCCTCGCTCAGATAGCGCCGCTTCTCACTGCCGACACGGTGCACCGGCTGATCCAGTTCTTCGTTCGGACCGGGCTCGGTGATCGGAATCAATCCGTACGCACCGAGATGCTCACAGCTGCTGTCGCGGCAGTCGATCTTCACGGTAGCACCAACATCACGTCGCTGCTTCCGGTCTTCGAGGACTTCATGGACAAGGCGCCGAAAATCGGCAGCTTCGACTCGATCAAGCAGTCTGTGGTGATTCTCATGGGGTCCCTGGCGAGGCACTTGGATAAGAACGATCCGCGAATCAAACCCATTGTGATGCGCCTCATTGCGGCGCTCTCCACGCCGTCGCAGCAGGTGCAGGAGGCCGTGGCCAACTGTCTGCCGTATCTGACTGACTCCATCAAGGAGGACGCGCCGAAAATCGTGGACAATTTAATGGACCAGTTGCTCAAGTCTGACAAGTATGGCGAGCGCAAAGGCGCGGCGTACGGACTGGCCGGGCTCATCAAAGGCATGGGAATTCTCGCACTGAAGCAACTGGACATCATGAGCAAACTGACCAACGCCATCCAGGACAAGAAGAACTACAGGCACCGCGAGGGCGCGTTGTTCGCGTTCGAGATGCTGTGCACGATGCTCGGCAGATTGTTCGAGCCCTACATCGTTCACGTGCTGCCGCATTTGCTGCTGTGTTTCGGCGACTCGAGTCAGTACGTGAGAACCGCTACCGACGACACTGCCAGAGTAGTCATGAGCAAGCTTTCCGCGCATGGCGTTAAACTCGTTCTGCCGAGTCTGCTGGCGGCTCTGGAGGAAGACTCGTGGAGAACGAAAACTGGTAATTGAATAAATTGTCGTCTTTATTCTGTTGATGCATGAATACTAAGGGAAATTTTTCTACTGTGGATCTCAATCTTGCCACCAGATCTCTTATTAGCTTTACATGTCAGCCTCTATTACTTTTGTTTTGGTACATGGGACTTGGTCGATGACGATGACACAACTTTGGTTCTTTTGAAGAAAAGTAGTTCCATGTGTACCTCGACCTCTCCCCGGTTTTCTTTATTGCAATTTTTATGGGAAAAGATTGTAAACCGTTTACTCAATTTCTATATTGAAGGACCGAGCTCTGGCTTTAAATTTATTTATTAGAAGTTCTCTGTCATCCAAGGATGCAGTACGTGTTTATCCGCGGTTATCTTGGGATTAAGTTTATGTTTTAAGGCCTGTGTCCACGATACTAGAACTTGGTCCAAATTCTAGTTCTCCGAAATGTGTAGCCAATCAACTTGCAGTTTTTATGGAATAGCTGCAACTGCAAACTAATTGGCTACACATTTTTTCAAACTAGACCAAGGTCTAGCATCGTGGACACAGGTCTTTTGAAACTTTGTTTCATAGTTGAATATTTTTTTACTTAACTTTTTAGTATCAAGTATGCGAGATGGCAATTCCAAGAATCGAATCCTGATTTTTTGCTTGACAAATGAGCGTTCTGGCACTGAGCTGCATCCAGCAGCCCAGCAATGACTATTTGTTTGATTTTTTAAATTGCTTCGAGAACGACATTGTTATTTATCTTGAGAGTTTTTACGCTAAACAGAGATTTTTAATTCCTGCACCTTATTCTCAGGATCTGTCGAGTTACTTGGCGCTATGGCGTACTGCGCACCAAAACAGTTAAGCAGCTGCCTACCGAGTATCGTCCCCAAGCTGATAGAAGTGCTCAGCGATTCCCACACGAAGGTGCAGGAAGCTGGCGCGGAGGCGCTCAAAGTCATCGGAAGCGTCATCCGCAACCCGGAAATTCAAGCCATTGTGCCCGTGTTGCTGAAAGCTCTACAGGATCCCTCGCACAAAACCGCCACTTGCCTGCAAACGTTACTGGACACGCAATTTGTACACTTCATCGACGCTCCCTCTCTAGCTTTGATCATGCCCGTCGTGCAGCGCGCGTTTCTCGATCGTTCGACGGAGACCAGAAAAATGGCCGCGCAGATCATCGGCAACATGTACTCCTTAACGGACCAGAAGGACCTGACCCCGTATTTGCCGACTATTATCCCGGGTTTGAAGACGAGTCTGCTCGACCCGGTGCCCGAGGTACGCAGCGTATCGGCGAGAGCGCTGGGAGCGATGGTACGTGGAATGGGCGAGTCCAGCTTCGAGGATCTGTTACCTTGGCTGATGCAGACGCTGACCTCCGAGACCAGCAGCGTCGATCGGTCCGGCGCTGCCCAGGGTCTCTCCGAGGTGGTGCGCGGATTGGGAGTCGAGAAGCTTCACAAGCTCATGCCGGAGATCATCAGCACCGCGGAGAGAACCGACATCGCTCCCCACGTGAAAGACGGGTACATCATGATGTTCATATACATGCCGAGCGCGTTCACCACGGAATTCACTCCGTACATAGGACAGATCATCAACCCTATCCTGAAGGCGTTGGCCGACGAGAACGAATACGTGCGGGAGACCGCGCTGAGGGCGGGGCAGCGTATTGTCACTCTTTACGCCGACTCGGCGATAATGCTACTGTTACCGGAACTGGAGAAAGGTCTCTTTGACGACAATTGGCGTATCCGGTACTCGTCCGTGCAATTGCTAGGTGATCTGCTCTACAGGATCTCCGGTGTGTCGGGCAAGATGTCGACCGAGACCGCGAGCGAGGATGACAACTTCGGCACAGAACAATCGCATTATGCCATTATCAATGCCTTGGGCGCGGAGAGACGAAATCGCGTGCTGGCCGGCCTGTACATGGGTCGTTCGGACGTGGCTCTTATGGTCCGTCAAGCGGCTCTTCACGTCTGGAAAGTGGTGGTGACGAATACGCCGAGAACGCTACGAGAAATATTACCAACCCTGTTCACGCTTCTGCTGGGATGTTTGGCGAGTACTAGTCCCGACAGGAGACAGGTGGCCGCTCGGACGTTGGGCGATCTCGTGCGGAAATTGGGAGAGCGAGTGCTGCCAGAGATCATACCGATCTTGGAGAAGGGTTTGCAGAGTGACCAGGCTGATCAGCGCCAAGGTGTATGCATAGGCCTATCGGAAATTATGGCGAGCACCAACAAAGATATGGTGTTAACCTTCGTCATCAGTCTCGTACCAACGGTGAGGTGGGTACAACCATTCTACAAAATCGTTCTATGATAAGGATCAAAACGCACGATCGGGTGTTTTAAATAAAGTATCGTACTGTTTCAGAAAAGCGTTGTGCGACCCGTTGCCGGAGGTTCGACAGGCTGCGGCCAAAACTTTCGACGGCTTGCATTCCACGGTAGGCGTCCGCGCCCTCGACGACATATTGCCGGCGATGTTGACGCAACTGAACTCTCCTGATCCAGCGGAGGCAGAAAACACCTTGGACGGCTTGCGTCAAGTGATGGCGATCAAGTCGCGCGTTGTACTGCCGTATCTAGTCCCGCAGTTAGCCTCGCCTCCAGTTAACACGAAAGCACTGTCGATTCTGGCCAGTGTGGCAGGTGAAGCATTGACGAGGTTCCTCCACAGGATCTTACCAGCGTTACTCACTGCACTTTCCAGTGCTCAAGGAACGGCGAACGAACTGCAAGAATTAGAATATTGTCAGGCTGTCGTTCTTTCCGTTACCGACGAGGTAGGCGTCAGGACTGTGATGGATCAGCTGATGGAGGCCACAAGAGCCGAAGATCTATCGAAACGGCGAAGCGCCGCGACGTTGCTCTGCGCGTTCTGCCGCGACACTCGCGCCGATTACAGCCAGTACGTTCCGCAATTGCTTAGGGGTTTAATTCATTTGTTCACTGACGAGGATAGGGACGTATTACAAATGAGTTGGGAGGCGCTCACAGCCGTCACCAAGGTAAGTGGATGGAAATGACGCGCGATAATGCAGACGCCAAGATCAATATTACACGGAGAGATTTTTTTTCTCTTAAAATTTATCCTGAAAAACATGTAATTGTGAGACAACATGGAATTTCGAAGAATTTGGTGAGTTTTTTTGAAATTTTACCATAGAATTTACTAGTATTTTTTCAGGATAAATTTTTAAAGAAAATTATCTCCGTGTACCTGTAAAAGAATGTGTGAGAAATGTTGAAAGTAATTTATATCGTAACAATTCGTGTTTAAGGCAATATTAACTGAACTTTCAGCGCTTTTAACCGTTGTCTTAACTTCTTACAGACTCTGTCATCTGAACAGCAGATAGCGCACGTACAGGACATCAGACAAGCTGTTCGGTTCGCGGTGTCCGACTTGAAAGGCCAGGAATTGTTACCTGGATTCTGCCTTCCCAAGGGAATCACGCCGATCCTACCAATCTTCAGAGAGGCCATATTAAACGGTTTGCCGGAAGCAAAAGAACACGCAGCTCAAGGACTGGGAGAAGTTATAAGATTGTCCAGCGCGGCCGCGTTGCAGCCGAGTGTCGTGCATATTACCGGTCCGCTCATCCGAATTCTCGGTGACCGTTTCAACTGGAGTGTTAAGGCAGCTGTTCTCGAGACGCTTGCTATATTACTTGGAAAGGTTCGTATACGATTGTAAAAGAAAAGATAATTTCTGTCAGGACGAGGACTTCGCGTCTCGTTTTACTCTGCGGTTTATAAATGTAAAGAAGAAATTTATACGCGTAAGGTATTGTATATTTTGACACAGAAGTTCTTTCGGTTCGAAATTATTGATTTATCTCGCTTACAGGTTGGCGTTATGTTGAAACAATTCCTGCCGCAGTTGCAAACTACATTTTTGAGGGCGTTGAATGACAGCAATCGGCAGGTCAGATTGAAAGCAGCTTATGCTCTTAGTAATCTGATTGTCATTCATACACGTGTCGATCCCTTGTTCACTGAACTTCACACTGGCATCAAAACAGGAGATGATCCAGCGATCAGGTAGTTCCGGTTTAGCTTAGATATGTTCTTCGAATCTTAAAAGAGACGCCTTACAAGAATTTTATATTATTCGGAACAGGGAAACGATGCTTCAAGCTCTCAGAGGTGTACTGACTCCTGCTGGCGACAAAATGACCGACCCGATGAAGAAACAAGTATTTGCCACGCTTAGCAGTATGCTCGGTCATTCGGAGGACATAACGAGGAACGCGGTCGCTGGCTGTTTCGGTGCCCTTTTGCGATGGTTAACTCCGGAGCAATTAGCGATCGCATTTAATGATCATCTCTTATGTAAGTTCATGAAGAATATACAGCAGAAATTAATAATATATACGGCGCGTACAAAAATTATTGATATTCGATCAGGTAACGATACGAATGCCGACTGGGTGCTCAGGCATGGACGATCAGCTGCGCTTTTCGTAGTATTGAAAGAATCGCCCACTACGGTGTACAATCCTAAAGAGAAGGATCGTGTTTGCACGGTGATACTTTCATATTTGGCTGCGGACAGAGTACAGATTGTCATGAACGGCGTACGAGCGTGTGGATACTTATTTCAGCATCTTATGAACGAATCGCAGCCAATACCGCAGCAAATTTTATCGCCTTTTGTGAGGGTAAGCTCCAGAAATTGACTCTTGTCACCTGAGACTCGATGATTGCTCGTGATGTTATTTAAAAAGGCGTAGCATGAAACATTGAAGCGAGATAATAACATTTTATAGTGTTAAGTCAATGTCAGCCCTTAATAACTGCTCTAACTTTCAGTCGATGAATAATAACAGCAACGACGTGAAGCAGCTACTCGCCCGAGTTTGCATTCATCTCGCGCGTAACATACCACCTGAAAATATGTCGCCCGAACTGCTCAGGGTTCTCCTGCCGATGTTGGTGAACGGTACAAAAGAGAAGAACGGATACGTCAAGGCGAACAGCGAGCTCGCTCTTATCGCGGTGCTTCGGCTGAGGCAAGGCGAAGAAGAACATCAGGTTAGTTATTCTCTCTCAATCGGTTACCCTTCGAAAGATTTTCATTTAATTTCTGTGATAGATGATCGCCTCTTTTACGTCAATTAATCCTTTCTTCACGTTATCATCTTTCAGCGCTGCATGACTTTCTTGGATGCTGGCGCGAGGGAGTCTTTGTCCGACGTGGTCAGCAAAGTGTTGCGCAAAGTGCTCTCTCAACCGGAGGGCAAAATAGAGGAATTAGACGATACGTTACTCACGTGAGAGATATTGTACTTCCCGGGGCTTATTACGCACTATACCCGTTCCAGTAATCGTATTACCCGTCATTATTCGCCCGACCCCTATAAAGAAGAGATTTATCGTTCATGTATCAGCTGCATTATGAACAATCTAGCTCGTTCAGCATTGTATCTCGATAAACAATTAAAGAGCGTGAAGCGGAACTGTCGCTCGATGGCATTCAAGTTACTTAAGCTAAGATGTCCTAAATATCTCAAGCGATTCGAACCAGAACTGTATATACTTTTACGAGAAATGTTTTCTATGATTCATATAATAACCGTCTGACATTTAATGATCGCAGCATCGATAATCGCACGAGTGTTTTCCTACTTGAGAAATCAGAGGTGACAGTCGGAATCTATTATCGTGGCTTTCTCTGTGTTGGTGATGTAAAATTTACTGAGGGCCCGTCAACTCGCGTACTCGCGTAAACTACACGGTCGGTGTCGCGCGCGTGGTTTAGTTTGTCGCTTATACTTGGCGCGAGACACTACCGTGTCTCGTGATTATTTAAGCCATTATTTTATTCACAATCATATTTATATATAAGCCAGTCACACTACTAACTCCTTATAGACTCAAAATGGTTGTATGAATACGCTATGTCAGAAGTTGATTTTTCTTTGCCGTAAGAAAAAAAATTATGTAAGTTTACGTAACCGACTTGGAGAATTATAAAGCCAGCTCAATGATTCGCTCATAAAACTGTTAAACTGTACAGGGACTGTTTGTTTCCGTTAGATTTATTTATTTTGCTTGCACTTTTTGTATTTTTTTGCACTAGATGTATATTAACTTGTTCGCGTATTATCAGAAGTGGTGCCGTTTATGTTAAGAGTACAATTGCGTATTTTATAATTCCTTTAATAGATAATAACAGTTTGAAGAAGAACGAAAGAGAGTGCAAGATTAACGCAAGGTAATCAAAAATATGGAAAATGCATAATCTCTTTGGTTAAAGGTATTAATCTTTAACATTAAAGACGATTAACATTAAAGGTGTCTTGAAAATTGATCGTTATAGTGTTAACTAAAAATGATTTTTAATATCTCTCATTCACATATTTCTTTTATACGGATTAACTTTTTTATATTTTTCTCTTTATAACAAAATATATCTAAAATATGAAGCGAAAAGCGATGAAAAATAAGGAAAAGATGTGATCTCTTAAAAATCATAGAGAAAAATTATAATTAAAAGAATAATATAAAATATAATTAATAGCGATTGAAGTTGAATACGCAGAGTGTAAGAGTTCAAATACAGAAATTTGACGAAGTAATAGCTGACCGCCAAAATATCATTTTTATCAAGTATGCTAATTATAACCGGTACAATTTATATATAATGATTTTTTCCTTCGGAGGGCAGCTATTACCTCTTCAATTTTTTATATTCTACTTGTAATCCTTACATCCTGTATGTATGTTGTCTCTACATCAGCGATGTTGTTACTCATGCAAATATGAAAAAATTGCACGTAACGAAAGATAGTTTTTCTTCGGTGGAAATATCGAATAACTCAAATATTAGATCTCGACTGTATGGCCGTCGAGCCAATCATTTCGACAATTTACACTTTTCTGGGTCTTGTCGTTCGAGCCATGTGTTACGACTGATTATAAGTGAATCACTATGTTTCTTTAAAAATCTATCGAACTTCTCGGGACTGATCAAAAAGTGCAAGTAACGCGAAGGCTATTGAGGAAATTTACAATGTGGCTTTATTATTATGTTTATTCTTTTATATATACATATATAATAATTATTATATACATATATGTATATAAAAGAGATTATACTCCAGAATATGTATAAGGGTTGTTGGCAGTTCCGGAATGTGTGCGTGTGTGTGGTGCGTGTGTGTGTGTGCATGTATGTGGACAAACTTAGACAAGTCCAGATCTACTACTGGAGTGTTCGGCTGTATACCCAAGTTTAGAGGTTTATGGTCCGCGTAGATATTGTTAAGTTGACGCGAGCTATCACCGAAATGCCGTGATACTCCTGGCTTGATTATTGAAATGTCCTCGGAATAGGCTCTATTAAAGTATCACTTCGCATGTACCGATTTTCGCGCAATTCACTTTGCATCCACGCTGCCAAAAAAAAGAAGAAAAAAAGAATCACGCAACGTACTGGACAATCGCAGGATTTTGTACTTTTATATGATTTTTAACGAATGCACTTGAAGTTTCCTTACGTGACGCAATTACCGACAATTGGATGCAATTCTGCAATGCGGAACTAACTCTAAAACCTTATTTTCCCGTTAGCAAATTTCACGAAACACTAGAGATAAACTTCTGCGCTGACGTTATCTCAAGTACAATGACCGATCTATAATCCTCCATAAATATGATTTCATGTGTTATTTGCGTTTTGTTTTGTTACAGATAAAGATTATACAATTTTTACATAAAATAATATGGGCCTTTACTTTGCAATACAGAACTAAAAATTACGAAAATGGCGTTTAGTTTTTTATTATATATAGATTGCATCCAATTGTTCTCTCCCTGGATAGACAGCCGAGGATCGCATTTTGTCTCGACGCTACAGCACTCCATTCGTCGCGAGCAAAACCGGACCGGAGACAGTGATATGATGGACCAGAAGTAGCACTTCACTTCGTGTTTTCAAGTGAAAACGGAACACTCCACTCGCGACCTAGTCGTGTGTGTCGCTTTAGCTTCACGTGGCCCCGGGATTTCCGTAAACATACGACGGTTCAGCTCGGTTTAATTCCATTTAAGTGGCAAAGTATGGACAAATTGCACCAATACTGGTCAACGTTAATCACAGCCCATTAGGTTTTTCTTCTGTTTACAAGTTTCTCAGAGAGAGAGAGAGAGAGAGAGAGAGAGAGAGAG